CCACTGCTCCCACAAATTCATTAGGCACACGCCACTGATTCATAAATGTTGCTGTATAGATTCCATTAACTAATTCTGGAAGAATTGTAATTGCCGAGTCTGATCCGTCTCCGTGCCTGGTGCCTTATCAAGACGGCCTGTGGTGGGTGAGGAATGTAATATTGACGTCCGAAGCAGACACAATCTCAGGCCCACGGGCGAAAGGAATATTAAACTGCTACTGTATTCTGCCGTCTATTCCACTCCCCTCCTCCTCCTCCCATTTCCTGTAGCCAGTAATGAGGAAATAACATCTTCATTAAACATCTGTTTAACTGTATTAAAGGACATGTCCTGGGGGAAACATTGGTCACACTGAGGAGGAGGGGTGGGGTGATGGGGGGGGGGGTAAAAGAGGTCCTTTGGACTACAGCGCAGTGGAGGAGGATGTGATTCCAAAAAGCTAAATTTCTAAGTGACTGAGGAATTTTTATGTATTTCATGTAAAACTCATTCATTCATCCATTCATTCATGTGCTGCTGCTTAATCCTTTTCAGGATTGCAGGGGGCGCTAAAGTCAATCCCAGAGGTCTTCAAACAACACCACCTAAGGTCACACTCACACATAGGTGAATACAGTAGAGTAACTGGAGAGAAAACCTCGTGAACACACAAGGGACGGCTCGACCCGATACTCAGCGTCGGTATCAGTCTGATAAGGGTCAAAACTTCAAGATCGAGCATTAAAAAAAACAAAACAACAACTCTATGTCGTCTGATCCCACACCTAAGCTCAAATGATCAACTTAACTTTGTGCGACCTGCTGTAAACTCACCTCACTTTGACAATTTACTTTAAAACTCTACTAAATGTTATTTTAAAATCTGTACAAGGCTGTTAATGTCTTTCTGTCTCAATTAAGAAAATACTTTGCCTTGTTGCGTCCCTGCTGCTAAAGTTCTGTGCCACTAGAGGAACCTGCCCCCCACTTTGGGAACCACTGCTGTGAAATAATCACATTTCCCACCCTGACAGTGATGTGTGGCTCCAGACCTGAAACAGGTCTTTGATGAAACGTGAATTTCACCGCTCAGGAAAGAAGGGACACAGAAAGAGATTCTGTCCTTCTGTAACAGATGTGAAAAGGGAGGAGCAGTTTGGTCGCCTGCAGAGAGGTGGGAACCTCATCCAATACACAAACAAAAAAAAAAACAAAAAAAGATTTTGAACTCTTTCCTCAATTACAACACAGTTAACGAAATGGAAACGTGAACACAAACACGTTGCTCCTGACATTATCTTCATAAAATCCCCGTATCTCCATTGCTGTGGAAAAACTGCCCACCTGAGTTAGACGGCTAGAAGTGCCATCAGGACCATATGGTGGAGGTCCTTATAAGGAGATGGAGATGCAGCACAAGGAGGAGATGGCATCAAGCCCACCCTCTGGTCCACTGAGGTATCAGCTGTGCCACACATGGGCCTTCTCTCAGTGGTGAAGGTGTGTGTATGAAAGCTGCCACAGACTGTTATATAATGATGTGATCAAATGAAAAAGTGCTGATGATTTTTTTTTTTTTTTTTTTTTTTTTGCTCTGATGGCTGTCAGCGTGCTAACACGTCAGCTCGTACCTTCTGATGCTAAGCCCAGGCCTGAGACAGATTCCTCTCAGGTAGCCCAGATCCAGAGCAGCTTTCACAGATATGACTAAACTGAGAGAGAGAGAGAGAGAGAGAGAGAGCAGAACACCAAGCTGCCTGGATTATCCTGCTACCAAGGGAATACTCTTCTACAAACACGCGGCTCAGACCTCCAGCATTCCAAAAGTCAAATATTTCTTCCTGCAAATTCATGGAAATGTCCACCATCATCAAAGGCTCGTCAGGCGGCGGTGTGGAAACATAAAAAGACGTGCAATTTGGACATCAAACCACATGATCACCCAAGAGAGCTGTAATTGACAAATCAAAGGGAGACTAAAAGCTACATTTAAAGTTGTGCGAGCAAAAAGTGGCTTCCAAGCCTATCAGCTTGCATTCCCCACATTAAACACAGCAATGTGGCCGACTAATTTGAATTGATACATCAAAGGCCTGTCATGTTGGGTGTGTTCCAGATGAATTTCAAGGTCTGCAAATTTTCTACTTTAGAGAAACTGACTTCAAGTTCCTGTATTTACTGCACTTTATTATGCCGTCTGAAAATAAAATGCCCAAAAGGGAGATGACTAGTTTGGGTAATTTTTAATATTTTTTTTTTCAACATTTGAGTCGACGCAGACCAAAAAGTAAAGACGTAAAACTAATGAGGACAGAAAAAAGACAACAAAACATTTAGATTTAAGTTAACGAGGCGGTAAGTTGTCGAAAGAGCCGTTGACTAGTAGCGGTTAGCCAAAATATCGATACTGCGATTCAGCAAATATTGATATCTACAACAATAAACATACTGTATACTAGTTCTACACAGATTTTCTATCAAAAACCTGATGCAATTTTTCAAGCCTCCACCTGATGGTGCCAGAAACCACTATGCAAGAGAGTGCACAAATCAAAACAAATCTAGGCTAAGCATTTGTCATCTTACTTTATGTGCTATTTGTACCATGGTACTACAGAGCTGCCTGTTTAAAAATTTACTACTGCAAATACACTGATCCACTGTGCAGTCAATAATTCTAAATGTCTTCTATGTATTGTGGATGAAATATATTGCAATATAAGTATTATCGCAGACTCACTGTATCGTGATATCCTTATCGTGGACAGAAATATCATGACAGTATCGTATCGCAAGATACCTGGTGATACCTGGTGATACCTGGTGATACCTGGCCCGACTAGTGATAGTGACTAGTGATAGTGACTAGTGATAGTGACTAGTGATAGTGATTAGGGATAAGGCCCTGGAATTTTTTAAGCAAATGGCACAACATCAATGCTAAGTCCTGACCATCCAGAACCCAACATAAATATCCTGACCGGTCCTGACACACCGTACCTGGCAAAGCCCACAGCCAGGAGCTGATCTCAATCTGAGTCCTCACCAGATTATGACTAAAAACCTTTTCCGGGATATTTTTAAAAACTGAAAGCACAGATTAGAGATTCTTGCTTAAAAGCTTAAGGGGGTGTGTTCGTGGTCCGCCTGAAGTCCTGAATACACGCTGACCTTTATTAGTGGTGGGCGGGGTTAGATCTGGTAATGACTTTTGGTTCGAGCATAATCCAAAATTTAAACCAAATCCCTAGAGATTACAGAAAAAAGCCACAGTCGCTGGGTGCACTAAGAGCTGCTGGTACGACTCCGACTACATGGACACGTTTGACCTTCACAAAGTGGCTGTTAATGTCTGAGACCAAGACTCTGCTCTCACTAAAACTGTTAAAACTGTCCTTTAAAAGTTAAGGTTCGAGGTTTGGACTTTGTTTTCTTGGCCACACGGTGGGAAGGTGATTAGTGCCCTGGTACTGGTGTGATGCCCGGCCTTGTTGTATGGATTTGCATGTGTAAAAATGCAGGATTATGTTCATTATTCACTCTAAATCAAGGATCTCAAACTCCTGGCTCTGGGCCACTTGTGGTACGCAAACCCCAAAAATCTGGGTCACAACTACATTTCAATAATGAAGTCATTTTGAACTTGTGGCCCTGTCAATCATCACCAAGACCTGGTGGTAGGAGGTAGCAATTACATCACAGTTTATATTCGGCCAGTAAATTATCAATGTGAGCAAGTGTTTAGGAATACTGAATGTTGAAAAATAAAATATTTTGAATGATGGCGTCGGCAGCAGGCCAAACAGCAGGGTGGTCGTCGACGGCGCCAACACCTTAAACTGTGCTCACGACGGAGCTGAGGAGGTGATGAAAGAGAGAAGGGAACAGGGAGGAGCGGAGTTAGCGACCCAGGAGGCAGGGAGGAGGGAGATTAGAAATCGTGCCGTGTCAGGATTGGGAGCACGCTGGGCAGCAGGGGAGCGGGAGGACGGGGATGTTAGGGTGTGTGCTGGAGGGTACAATAATTGTGATATACATACACACACACGCGCACTCACACTAGGTGGCTGATGGGTAAACAGGCGAGGCAGGGTGATGGGCTGCTGGACTCTGCTCCTGAATACTGAACAGAGGATCAGAGAGACCAGCGCCAGTGAGACGGCACCAAAAAAATGCCACTCTCTGTCCCAGACAGCATCGAGATGCAAAAAGTCATTAGAGCCATGTTTGAACAACCCCCCGGACCACCCACCCTCCAAATGACCAACTTCTATTTATGTCTGTGAGACACAGAGGTATCTTGCACAAACCGACAGTTTTGAGACAGAAAAAAAAAATCATTAAAAATTATCTTTGGAGAATGATTTACTGCAGGGTTTCTGCTGCACAACACACGCAGCCCTTCAGTTTATCAACAAACAACATACAGGATTATTATTATAGCCCATAATTTTAACACATATTATTATAGTGATTATCAAATGGTGGCCTGCGGGCCGATTGCGGTCCACTAACCTATCCAATCCGGCCTGCAATTGGATTCTAAAATAGTCAGGATGAAAGAAAAATATAGTGTGGTCACCAATATAAAGACTAAAATGCCTTCAGTTTTGTAATAAAATAAAAACATACATAAACAAAAAAGATCAAATAATGTTGGAAAAAAAATCTGATTTTTATTGTCTTGTTTGAGTGTCTTGTGCCTAAGGTGAATGTCTGGAAAAAATCTGGACCTCTAAAAACATATAGTTATTGACGACTGTTATATGGATTAACTGCTTAACTCATCAGCTACACCTGCTGCTGTCTGTGCTGAAGTCGGCTAAAGTTTGGTAATTAGCCAAGTTGCACAGAATTTTTCTCTTCAGCGTACGGTCATTAAAAACAATTCCAAAACATATCTGACTTCAGCAGAAGTCCATGAACGTAAATGAAAAAATTCAAGAGGAAACACTGTAGTGTCTACACATGTACTCTATTCTACTTTGGAAGTTTATTAAATATTTCCATGTTCGTACCTGCACACCGTCATGCAGAGGGCGCCACAGGCTGCAGCTCCCAGCAAACAGCCAATCAGGTTGACACTGTGGGCTGGAGAAAGAGAGGGCAGTGCAAACATGGCCAGACGAGCCATCAGGGTGAAGAGAGGGTATCCTGGGGGGTGAGCCACCTACAGTACACACATGGAATGACACGTCACCACAGCAACAAGATACACGCAACAAAACCCAAACATGCTCAAAATACTGTTGCAAGTTCAATGCAACATAAAGTCCCGTTCTGTCAGTTAATTACTACCTGATAATCACATATGTCACAATAAATAAAAACGTGTTGTACTTATATACAGGTGCAGTTCAAATTTGAACATCATGAAAAAGTTCAATCTTTTTTTTTTTAAACAGTTCAGAATATGTTACTCTTCTTTAATATATATAGATTCATTAGACATGGAGGGAAATATTTTAGGTTTTCATTTCTTGTATTTTTGATCATTACAGATAATAAAACCCCAAAAACTCAGTGTCACAGAAAATTAGAATATCACAGATATTTTTTTATTTTAGCTTTATCTCAATCCTCCAACGTGTCGATTGAAGCCTGCAACAAGATCATGTTGTGTGGCCTGCGTGAACTAAAACAAACTGTACTGCACTAACAAATGAAAAACTTCAACATACACAGTAATACTGTAATACTGCCTGACCTCAAACTGACTCACAGCCACATTGGAACCCTTCCCTCCTCCTTTTGCCCTTGGTTCCTTCACTTTCTCGCTACATTCCTCCAGCCTCTTCCCAAGGACGGCGCCGTCCCCTAGAGTCCACGCCGGAGTGTGTCACGCTCACCAGCCCCGGCCCTCAAACCACCTCTGAGCCACAGTCATCCTCGCCTGGGGGATCACGGCAATCACAGCAATTAGCTGCTAAGTCTCCTCTACCCAGATAAGGGCTCCGTCATTAAACACAGACTCATTCCCCGGCACTGATAACACCAGCCATGTGGGCAGGGAGAAGGGACGGCTCTGAGAGTGAGTGAACACTGAACTGTGGAAAAGGTGAGAGGGTGACTAACCAACAAACTGTTGCCCTCCAACACACCACGTGTAGAGATGGTCACACAACTTTTACAAAGTCTGAGGAGCAGAAATGGAAGAGTAGATTGACCAAAGAAGGGAACTCGCCACTAGGGGGTGCTAGATGACGACTCTGTGTTCCTACTGGAAGTGGACGGACACACCCTCGCGGGGCAGCCGAGAGGCAAAGGCCACGGGGAGAAAAAAAAAACTGTTGAGCTTTTGGGATGGGAAAGCGCTGGACGGGGGAGGGCCCTGCTGCGTGGGGCCCGGGGACGGCCTGTGAGGCCCTGGGGAGGCCCGAGAGGCAGAGAGACAGGCCACACGGACCGCAGCACTAACAGCAGGATTACTGGCATGGTGACACTGACACAGCCTCCCTAAAAGGATCACAGCGGCGTAATAAACTTTATTAAATAATAAAACTTATTATAACTGTTAACCCGATTTAGTTCATTCTTCGCGGCTTACACACACAAAAAGAGGGGTGGATATAATAAGCCTTATACCGTACATAAGGCAAAGCCTACAAAAGCCATTGCCTTACCATTGACTTTAATTGGATTTGGAAAAACGGGTTGCAAATTATAGCATTCTCTATTTGCAACTTAGTAAAATAAGTGTATAGAAAAGAAGAGCGGGAGGAGGAGAAGGAGAGGAGAAAAAAAAAAAACCTGTGGACTCAAAGTGAATTAATCTGCTTTCTTGCCCATGCTTAATTAAACTTCCTTAATGCTTATAAAAGTTAATGAGTGAATTGATTAAACAATGCAGTTAATACTCACCCCCAGCTCACAGGCAGTGGTGATCAGCTCTCCTGTGGAAGAGAATAAGGGAGGAAATTAATGTAAACCCAATAATTATTATTAAGAGACAAGTCTGCTCCCAAAGTTTTCCCAAATCAAATACTTGCACTGGGGTTTTGCATTAATTTGCCAGGATCAAAACCTGCAAATCTTCCCAGTGTGACATTTCCTAAGCGGCACGCTCATTCTCTTCATCTCTGCCTGCTCCCCTGATGCCTCCCTCCCTCCCTCCCTTTTTGTTGCACATCTAGATATATAAACACACACGCTGCTCTCTCTCTCACACACACACACTCTAGATTCTCTCTCCAATGCTCTGTCACACAAAGACACGCGTATGCTGATTGAGAATAATGCTTTTTTTCTTCACCCATCCTCCTCATTCATCAGGCTCCTCTCCTCCTCTACAACGACCCTCTCCTGTTCCCAAAATCCCTGTGTCTCAGTGTCTGGTTTTGTCCAGTGGGCATAAACTGAACATCCGTGATGAAGACAGTGAGAATATGAGGTAAGCTGTTTAATAAAGGAGAGAAAGACCGAGGAGGAGGAGGAGAAGAGCCAGTCGCTCTATTTTAAACAAGCCCTGTGTGAGGCACTGCACCAAATACAAGAAGAAAAACAAACCTCACGCTATTTTAGGAAGCTTGAATGTTTTTGGTAAAAATCCATTTCCTCCAAAACACACCCAGAGCATTTCAAATTACAATATTTTTTCACCCGGTGTGTTGCTGTAAATTGAAATTCGGCTCTGATTAAATCAGTGATAAATGTTAGGCGTTCGAGACAGCGCCCTCTGCTGGCACATGAAGGACTGTCACCTCCACTCTCAGAAAAGCCAATGACTAAGTAGCATTAATTCACATGACTGTCATGAGAAACACCTGTGTTGATTTAAACACAATGATCTCAGTTACTAAAGTAAATATGTACACGACGTATAACCTGAGAGAAATAATAATTAAAACTTTTTTTTATATAATTAATACATTAACTGATTTTCACTGGCTGAAAATAATAAAAACTTTTTTTGTAATAATAATACATTAACTGATTTTCACTGGCTGCACATAAACATCCATTTGAAAATATACACATTTTTCTCCAATTTGAATAGTCAAAAAAAAAGAAAAGTTACAAAACAAAAATTGTATAATTTGAACAAATGCAATAAACCACATTAACCTGCATTCATGCGGCAAGAAAGAAAACAAAGAAAAAACAAAATGGATTCTAGAATATTCAAAAATCATGTCTTCATATGTTTAATATAAATAAAGTAGAACCAAATCATAGAAATAAATAATAATACATATTTGTAAATAAATGTAAGATTAAATATTTCTCAGCACAATATTGTAAACAACTTAAACGAAAGGCAGACACTGCTGCTGAATGTGCGTGGGCTTCAAGCCCTTTAAAACAGACATAAAACCCTGGGTAATATTAGTAAAAGTGGGTTTCATGGGGCTGAGATCAAGTTCAAATCAGTGTCAGTTAATATGGGCTGTAATTTTAATTGCACTTTCTGGTCTGAGGGGTCCAAGGTTCAGCTGGTTGTTGGCAGAAACCGACAGAATTTTAAGTACTGTATGTGCTCATTTAAAATGACACATGTTCCTAAGAGCTCCATTACTGGTTCAGTAAGAACATAACAACCAGGCCTCACAAACATAAACACTTGGTTTGTAAATTTAAACTCACTCTGAGGAGCAAGAACAGCCAAAAGTGCAGAGTCTGATGTTTGGTTTGACTACTTGCATCCTTGCAGACACAGCGGGTTTCCACCACATGAGGAGCCCTAACTTGTCAGCCTGATGGACCATGAAGTCAGAACTCCTCCACCTGCACAGCTTTCATGTTTTCATATCTGCGTTTCACCTGTGAATCGTGAGTTGTCTGCCACCTTTTTATGTCACCGTTCCGCATTCTTCATCCGATTCTCAATTTACACCCGTTTTCCCTCACTAGTGGCACACTTTCACCGCATTCAGAAATGTGAAACTCCGAGTCATTTTGAGCCAAGACATTCATCCTGGTGCCACCAAGATGAGTTTTTCAGCTCTTGTACTGAAAAAGCAAAATATTGAGTCAACGGGGGAGCGGCATGGGTGCCAAACGTCTTTGTGATAGTGGAGCATGGGCACCCACACCAGTCTTCTGTAATCCCCTTCATTTCCACACTCCACATTCCTAGACAACAGCGTACCTCTGGGCTGCGCTCAAGCCTCTCCAGGGCACAGCACACCTAAAGAGATTAGGACACAGAGACGGAGACCTGGAGCATTGAAAAAGGGTGTTCGGCTGGCACTATCAGAGTGGGCATCCTGCACCGTTCCTAAACACTGTGGAGAAGGAGCTGGCTATTTTTTCAAAGGCCCCCTTCAGTAGACGGCAGCCATGGCTACTCAGCGCTCCAATCACATGCACTCTACTCATCTCTGCTCAACCTTATCTGGCCAAGCGCTTTGTATTCTGCAAATTGTGCATTTAACCTTTACAGCGGCTTGTGTGTCAGAGAAATGCAACACCTAACAGGCGCAGGCTCCATGCCTCCGAGTCCATAATTTACAAGTTTGTAACCTTGCTATCACTTCTAAACAGTATGTAATTGTGCAACGTGTTACTTCATAAACTGCAGTACAAGACTGTAAGGGGGAAGTGTGTGTGGTGGGGGGGGGGGGTACTGACTTACCACACAGGAAAGGAACTGGGTGAAATACATTTATGTCAGCTGTTATGCCTTGTGAGTAAAGAGTGAAATTTTAAATTTCTCACATCACCCTATTTCAAATTTCAACAATTTTGTAAGTGAAGAGCAGTCAACAACATTGGACATAACAACTGGTGCAATCAGTAAGGAAAATTACACATTTTGCAATCGGTAAAAAAACAATATTCCGTTTTCCCTTTAACCAGGGACTGCCTTGTGGAGCTGTAAAGAATAAAGCAGTTAAATTGTATTATTTGAAAATGAGGTTATAATAAATCATAAGTTGATTGTTGTTTGAATGGTCCATAATCTCAATTGCTAACAAATAAGTGATTTTAATTTTAATGTAATAAGCTACTTCTGACATTGCCAACGCAGCATAAGTGATTTTAATTTTAATGTAAGGAGCTACTTCTGACATTGCCAACGCAGCACGCTGACGTCAACTGTAACAAAACTATATTGTCTCACTTTTAAAGACGCCACAATGAAACACTATAAATTTAATGTACCAACCGCTTTAAATGCGTTTTTCTTTTTTACATATTGAGCACAGAACAGACTCAAGAACATAACCTAAAGTTTTCTTTAACTTTTTGGGGAAAAAATGGGGAATTTGTAAACATAATTTTTGTGTTGTAAAGTGAGTTTTTCAGTCACTCTGCAAAGGTTGCAGTACCACGGACAGAGCCGCTGGAACGCCCTCGCTGACGAAACGTCACCTTATTGGCTGAGCGACAACACAACAAAGTCACATGACCCCAGAAGCTCTGAGCTAGCTGCTGGCTAATACTGACCTGAGTCTCCACCGGGGACAGTCCTCTGGACGCACGGGACATATAGAGCTGTGACACAAGCTACGGTGGCGCCCGTTAGGATCCAACTTGTCCGCTGCTCCGTGGACATTTTGTTTTTTTTTAACGGGACGCCGGCGGCTTGGAAAGCAGCTGCTTGGCTAATGTCGTCAAACCATGAAGCTAGCGTTGCTACGATATAAAAAATATCCGGCTGACGAGAAATAAAAATGTTTCCGTCGCCCCTGTGTAACTAAAAACGACGTCAAAATATAGTTTACATCAAGTTAAAAAGACATTCAGTGATGAGTGCTGTAACATTTCATTTTGCAGCCTCAGAAAAGCAGAAGTGAAGTTAGGGCGCTCTTTTCCAAGGGAGCAGCTGGACCTGATTTGAGCTAACGAGCTGAGCACATCTCGCGATATTTGGAAGTTCTCATCCCTCAAAGTTACACACCATTTCTAGTGATATGGACAAGAGTCTCTGTTATTTACACAGTTTACAAACTTTGCGGTACTTGTTAGTAACTCCCAATGACTTCCTGTTACCGTTTATTTTACTCTCAACTCTTAATAACAATTAATAAAAAAACAGCAAATCGTGTTTCCTTTATAACCGTGTTAGGGCTGTGGAGAAAACCAGTATATGAACACAATTCATAAACCTCAGATATTGCAAAATTACTTCAAAATGCCCAAAAACACTCATCAGATGAATTCAATAAAATAGAATAAAGTCGACTGGAAAACAGCTAAAAAATTTACAGTGTCAGCATTGTATTTTGAATTAGCTACAATTGAGGCTAAAATATAAAAGCCTCAAGCATAAATATGGCCACATGGATTATGTCCAAAGGCCATTATTGGCCGAAGTAAGGCTTGAAACCTCAGACCTTAATGCTTTACAACAAAAGAAGAAAATCTAATGATTCGAGGATTGCTGACATGACAGGTTCAGAAAATCCAATGCTCTAGTAAATACTGCATCGATATTTACTAGAAATGCTGGACATGCACCATCAAGGTAATTGCAGCAGCATGGCAGTAGATTACAAGTAAGACTCGATAACCGCTCTCCAAAATGTCTCGCAAGTGTCCATATTTCACAGGTTGAAGGGTGACTGTAATGAAGAAATTGCCCCATTGAACTGATATTAATCCCAGCCTGTTATAAATGAGTCTGATCCCTCAGTAAATTGAGCCCTTGGTGAGGTGGAGTGGTGTCAGCACCTAGCCAACTCTCACATGGCTCTCTAATCCTCGCTCCACTCTCACCACCACCCTCACTGTCTAATCAGTCCTGAACACACACATATATAACATCCATCTCACACACACACACACACACACACACAATTTCTCACATTCGGGCTCAGCCATCGCTTCAGTGTGATGTCACCCTTAATCCACGCTCGGTTATCCGCTGGGCTGCAGTGCTGGCAGAGGGACATGGGGAGGAGATGCAGTGAATTTGGGAAGATGGCGGCCAGTGGGGGGTAATCAGTCAAGTCATAAAGTCTCCTCTGTAAAAGTACCACTTCCACTTCCCCACTTTGCTGCACAGAACTCCAAACTCTTTTGCACCAATCGCAGGAGCTACGGCGTGAAAACGACTGTGGATGTGAACGTGTCCTCCAGCTGTGATGGCAGAGATAAACAGCTGAAAGCCATTGTCACAGAGGCCTGAGCATCCTATTCCAGGCAGAGCGGTCATTAGAAAGTCAACTGGATTAAGTCCTGCTAAAAAAAAAAAAAAAAAGGCTCTGCATTAACTCTGAAAATTTGTCCAAAATCACAATTAACCAGACGTCTGAGGCGGTTGGTACCATATGTCGTTAACAAATATTAGTTGAGGACAACAGACGGACTGAATTCATCTTTTCAGATTACATGTAGTGTGTGTGTGGATGTGAATACACACACACAACGTCTGTGATTAGAAGGCTGTAATGTTTCAGCTGTAGCGATGAAAACAATGAATCGTGATGAAAAACAACGAGGCGTTAAAAATCTACATATTGTCTGAAAATATTTGCTGTTTTCCTAGCAGAAAAACACCAACAGAATATCCATGCGTGATGACAGAGGGGCTTCTGAGACCACTGAGTGATCACGATTCAGCGTATTTGATTTTGTATTCCCTTCACTTAGCACGTATCTGTTTTAATCTTACCTTAAGCATCCTTGAAATGAGGTGTAATCCACTTAAGCCCTTTTTGAATCTGCTTCACAGACATATTACACCCATTGTTATTTTTGACTTAACATTTGCTCACTACAAATATGCAGGCCAAGAACCGCTATTAGCACATGCTAAAAGATGAGAAAGTGACATTTTTGTGTGTGTGTTTGTAACGCAGGGAGAACAAGACTGTTGGGATTAATGAGGTGGAAATAATAGGCATTATGTAAATAAATAAGGCCGTCGGCAAACGTGGCCAGACAGTAACGGCTTTGATGACAAATGTGAAGTAATGAATAAGACTGGGACAGAACGTGTTATGAATCGTGCCATCAAGTTATGACCAAGTCACTCTAGAGATCCTACAGTCCAGGTTAGCGCTAAGCTAGTACAGTCAAAGTATTTATCTTGTACTTATCATCCAGCATAAGTAAAAAAAAATGTAGCGAGTAAAATATTCCCACAAAAATCAAAGAAGAGTCCGACGTTATGTTATTAAAAAAATCCTGTAAAGAATTTATATATATATATATATAAATTCTTACATTTTAAGATGGAGATACGTTTTGTTTGTTGACCCAGAGAAAAAGTAGTCCCTGTCTTTGTTGAAGCTAATAAAGCTATAAACAATAATTAAAAGTTTTTTTTTAACAAAAAGAATAATAATGTCCCTTTGTAACATGTGACATATGAAATGATCCGACAAACAGATTGATGATGGAGATTAAAACACGTCCTAATCACATCCCCTTTTTTGTGCGGTAAACCAAGCGGTGTACGGAGATCCAGGGGCGGACGGAGAGCCCGCAGCGCCACACCTTGTTGAGAGCAATTAAACCGAGAGGATTGAATTGATTCAAACAGCCTGAACCAGAGATAAATGTTGTCTCTCATCTCCGAGTAGAGGACACCGCTTCACGAGTGTGTGTGTTTTTAAATGATGTTTTTTAACAAACAACACCTTTCTCCGAGGGACAATAATCCTCATCGTTTCAGTGTGAGACCCAGCAGATAGTGGGGAGAAGAGACGGAAGAAGATAAAAGACTTTCTCAGACTGAACTGGGGCGACGACTCCTAACTGCACGGTTTCCACGTGGGACCAATCCACTTACTACCACTGATAAAGATTTAATTAACACAAGACTGCAATTACTCCATAATTAAAGTCATTTGTCCCCTTGTTTGCAGGAGCCGGCAGGACGTCTTCAAAGAGACGAGAAGATTCTGTCCCCACTGAAGGGGTTAGTGTTGAATGTTTGATGTTTTTACAGATTGATTGTTCTCTTCCCTAAATAAAATATAAGTAACAATTCATCTATAGCCAGTGTTTTGGGTCATTGATTGGACAAATCCCTTGTTACTCACTGAGTGTGAATTTACGCTAACGTAAATTAGCTAATGACGTTGTACAGTGTTTCAACAGCCAATTAAACTTGATTGGTTTAATGGTAATATCGTACTTTTTTAACTGTTACATATACTATTCTAAAAGAACAGCAGCAACAACAACAAACTTTATTGCTGCAGAAATTATATTTATTCCTGATTTTATGTTTTGGCTGTTAAGATTAATGAGATGTTCAAGGGGTTTTGGAATTTTTAACACTGTGACACCGTTGCACTAAAACTTAAGCTAAAACTATTAATTGCATCAGTTGTGGAGTATTTCTCAAAGACAGAAAGTATTTACACCTAAATTAGTACATTAGTCTGCACGGGTTCATTTGTACTTCATTTGGAGCACGACTTTTTAAACCATGACATTACTGACATTTTTTTAACCAAATCTCAAACGTCCAATGTGTGGGATCTGGCCCAGTCTGTCGTAGTTTAATACAAGGGTTTTATTTTATTTTTTTATTTTATTTTTGTGAGGGGAGGTGACACATAACAAAGCACAATTAAGGACATTATTTTTTACTTTAACTATTTCATATATACTGTAAATACAATTATTATTTTTACTTATATAATTAGTCATTTTACTAGAGTAGACAGAAATGGTTCTTTTAATAAAATAAAATACCACACAGACTAATGTATAAATTATGATTTTATATTATGCACTTTTACTTATATAATTAGTAATTTTACTAGAGTAGATGGAAATGGTTGTTTTTCAAAATAAAATACCACACAGACTAATGTACATTGAAACGTGACCTGGTACTGGTCCCCCGGCCAGTAGTTGGGCACCACTGCTCAACAAAATGGATTGTGCATCTCAAAAACACAGATGCTGCCAAACCTCCGAGAAGGCCGTCTACCTTCTACATAGACCTACCTTCTACATACATTTTTATAGAACAGGTGCCAAAAAAAGAGCCACAGATGAATGAAATATTATTCATTGAAATGTCGACCTCTGAGCTGAGCTTTAAATGCAGCTTAAATCCTAGCCAATGGAATGGAGTTTTGTGGCTTCAACAGTCGATGTCGGTGATTATTAAAGTGGCTTCTTAGGATCACAGAGGTGATAAGACAGTACATCTCACATCCATCCAGCCTGACGTGAGTGCAGCACCGGGATGGCACTGTCACATCCAGGAGGCTGCTTCTTCACAGGAAAAAAATATGTATCATTCCATTTATTTGCATAACCCTGGCCTGCTTAAGGCAGAGGAGCCACTGAGAGGTCTCAGAATTAGCATGCTGTCACCTTCACCGTCTCTTCTGTCATTCAGAAAAACAGGCATGTGTGCAGACACATGAACCCATCTCACATCTACTGCAGAAATGTTAATTAGGAGGCACGGCGTCCCACGGCTCTCAAAAGCCTAACCGATGTGTTATGTATTTAAATCCCTTTCATGTGCCCTTATAGAAAAGCAAAAAAAAAAAAGAAAAAAAGATGGAAAATGTCATCACATATAGATTTGTGAATGCACACAAGAGTAATTGCCATAAACTGGAGACTTTCGGAAATGTCCTATGTTCAATGGTTGGATTTAAAATTGAAATTAATGTACGAAAAGTGTAATTAATTTGACAAAATCAAAGACTCTAAATTAACTAAATTAATCAGTGAACATCCTGTGTACTCTATTTACATCATATGTAAATGTGTAATCCAAACATACACATCTAAAAGTGAGCAGCAGACTCAGCAGTAGATTCGGTTGCTACCGTCTTAGTGATTGTTAAGGAAACAGTGCCCTCTTGTGGCATATTACAGAACACCACCCTGCACAGGGGACGTTTTCAACAGAGGAATCTCTATGATATATAGTGAAACATGAGGGTAAACTTATGTTTAGACTTATAAATATAAACTTAACTTAAATATAAACTTAATTAAACTTATGTATATATATATATATATTTATAAGTCTGTGTGTGTGTGTCTGAGTCAGTACTCATCACTCAAACATTTAGATTATTATTAATAGACCCAGGTGTGAAATCAGAGACCACAAACTCACTTGGGCGTGTTTTCAAAAATATTTTTTATTCTTTGAAAAAAAACCAACAACAACAAAAAGAGGCATAGGGAGCATCAGTGCGTTCCATGGCTTGTGTGCAGAACTCCTGCAGGAGACCAAATCATAGAACAAGCCCTTTAGTGAACTGAGGGCCCCACCCATGTTTACCAAGGAGGAATGTTTCAGGCTGCTCCTCTGCAGCTGTTACAGAACATGGTCTTAAGCGACGACAGGCACAGTGTTGGAGCTGGAAGTCTTTGTAAGGAATGCTACTGTACAGTATGTGACTTTGCACTTGACCCTGCACGGCAATTACAGGAAATTTGGAAATGCACTGTGGTACGAGCAAAGTGTTAATGCTTCTGGAAGAATGTTGAGTATGTTTCTCTGAGGGAGGAACCAGAGAGTAAATGTCCCTACAGCCCACCACTGACACCGAGACACTATCTCTCCTGGCAGGAGCCTTTAATCATGGTGGACTCTGCCTCTGAGCAATACCTCGGAGTTTTTTAACATCATACAATTTTGGAGAACTTCTACAATGGAAAACTATAACGCTATATTTGGAAACTTGACAGTCAGCGTCTCATAATTTAACGTTTGTAAAATATATTTGGTAAAACAGTGTCAGGGTTAATGCTTTGACTAGACTACAGAGACGAGCAGACTGGAAAGATAACCACGTCTCGACGACTGCACCGATTCCTTTCCAGATTCTTTAGTTTTTCTAATTATTTTTGGACACATCAACTCTTTCTTCCCACACGGCTTCTCAAACTTGGCACCACGTGTGACAATATCATAGTTCCCACAGTGCTGGTGCTTTCAAGTGAACAGTCCTGAGTGTAATCCAGAGCTGTCACACTCCACCACAGCAGCACTTCAGCTTTACATCTTGCATAGGGAGAGAAAAACGTCTCCGACTTATATTTGGTATAATCTCTGAATGCTGCTGTGGCTGAGCCCAAGTTGGAGAGCCAATAAATCATTGGATGGAACCCAGAAACGGGATAAAGCTATAAACAAAAGCAGTGTTGACTGAACACAGTACACAAAGAAGAGGAGAAAAGGGGAGAAAAGGGGAGTAAAGGACACGGGGAGCTCAGGCAGGCCTGGTTGTCTCACACGGATGTCGTCTTTCACTGCAATTAGGCCGTACCTGTACTTCAAACAATGTAGCCTTTGGACGAGGAGTTGAGTACAGTTGAAGTAGAAGTTTAGAGCTGCAGCCATTAATTAAATTATTATTTGATAAAATGTTTTCCAGAATCAGACTTTTTTTCCACTGGAGTGAAACTCCAGAGAGACAAGGCATAAGTGAGTAAAATAAAAATAAAATCATAAAAAAATAACATACAAAACGTTTGTTATTGTAATTTCCATATTTTCTTTAAAAATATATGTACTAAATTAATCAAGCCGGCCTGATTGGACACCCCAGCAGGCTGGTTTTGGGCTGCGGGCCATATGTTTGACACCCCTGCGATAGATCGATCGATTAGAGAAAAAAAAAATCAACAGCTGCAGCTCTATCTCCGTACTTTGACTGTCAAACCCTGCGTTGTCGTTTTTTTGTTTTCCTGCATTCCTTTTCAGAATGATAACAAAGAGGGCATTGACTGAGGAAGTGATAAACATAAAAACACCGCAGGGCACTCGCAAAGTCCAGCCCCATCACATTCTCACACACACACACACACACACACACAAACATTCATGTAAATAGTGTCTATGCAGGAGAAAAAAAATATATTAACATTTGTAATATGAAACAGTACAAGGGCCTCAGTGTAGTAAAATACTACTATATAATCTGTCGGATACAAATGTGAAGAATCCGTGTGGGTTTTCATTTCCTTATGTCTTCTGGATATAAAATTACCTCTTTTATGCTATCGACAAAATATTTCTTATCTCTGAGATTTAAAAAAAAAAAATTCATATGGAACATAACCCCCGTTCGTTCTGCAAACAAAGCCACTCTGCAGAGCTGTAAGGTCAGGATCAAGGCTCGACTAGTTTCCCATCAAAACCAGGTCCCGGTCGGTGGCGGTTTTACTCCCAGCCAACAGTCCAGCTGTCAGGCTTTGGAAAGACTTTCCTTCTGACCCTTCAGGAAGAAAATCAATCCAGTTCTCTCTGGACAGAACCATCAACCTCCGCTCACTATTATTAGGTTCAGTCTAATTCATGAGCAAAAACAAACCTTAATCCTCCTGCGCTCTGATGGAAAAATAGCAGCCATTGTAGTCACAGCTACAATGGGCTTTTTTTTTTTAAAGCAGTTGGTTGGCAGGATTTATAAAAACTGTACTGGAGTCCAAAGAACTGTGGTCCACTGTGCTCCACATCTGTGTATATCCCACAGTGGCCGTCCAAAAAGACACCAGGGGCCCAGAACAACGTGTATTGTCTTTTTTTTTTGTGCAGGATCCACAGTATATGACCAGAGGTTCAGGGGACGGACTCCTCGTCCAATCCAAAGACGTCTCACACGAACAAAAGAAAGCATTAAGTCATCGGAACAGTTTCACAGCATGTTGGCGTCCCAGTCGCCCCCTCTCTGCCGCAGCAGGACCGTCAGCAGGATCAGTCCACGGGGCCCTGGAAGATCAGTTTGGAACAGCCCTGAGTCAGACTGAGTTGTGTGGCGCAGAAGGGACAGGCGGCGTGGAAGGCGTGGGTCCCGTGGGGCAGAGGGATGTCCGCCCAGTATTTCACCGACTTCTCTGAACACACGTGTCCGCAAGGCACGAAGGCGTACGTGGGCGCGCCCGCGTCCACGTAGAAGGCCGGCTCGCAGCCCAGCCAGAGAGGTACGTAGGGCCCCACCACGCGACACATTGGACATTCTCGCTCGGCGTTGGCCTCCTGCTCCGAACGGTGACCCCAGTTGTGGTAGCCGTGCACGTGCCCGCAGGCCAAGTAGACCCAGGGCTGCTTCTCCTCCAGCGAGGAGAGGGCGCGGCTGCGTTGCATGCTGGGGAAAGCCAGAGTGTTGAGGCCGACGGGACACTGTGGCCGCGCCGCGTTGATCTCCTGCCTGAGAGCCTCCAGGTGTTTTTGGGTGGGAGTGTGAAAGAGACCCTCGGCCGTACGCCACAGTAACGTAGCACCGCAGAGATCCACCAGGGAGCCGTCCTGAAGTATGTTACTCTCATTCTCCACCTGCAGAGGATGACGTCGTCAACACACTGGGTTAGTTCAACAGCAAAAAAAACAAAAAACAAAACACAACTACATTATTAGATTTAATTCACAGAAATGTTGATACACATTTTTAAAAAATAATAATATTTTTTCATAACTAATTGTGAAACTCTGAGCCGATACCGATGTTTAAAAAAACATGTCAATGTGTTTGTTCAAAAGAACAGATGTGTACGGCAGGCGTAAGAACCGGTACACCATGGAACCATTTATTTTTGCCTTTTCGCAGATTTTCCTGTCGATACCAATGTTCATCCAATTCACTGGTGCATCCTGTTTCATAATCAACGATAAATTCAAATATATTTTTCATTTCTATGCCGCGGCTGCTCTGGAAACTCCACAGTTTTTACTGTGTGTTTTCTGGACCAGTGTGAGAAAAGACTGTGTTTGTCTTTGTCTTTTTCACACATCAGATAAGATTAGACGTACAGCTTCCTCATGGCACGACCCAGATCAGCTTCGTTAGTGACTGTGTTGACCCATCGATCAGATTAGCGCGGCCTTTGTTCATGTAAAACCGCCATAGCGCTTAAAACGGGTCACGGACGGACGGTATCTTTTGCGGAACTTTGGCACAAAAGGGCATAACCACGACCACAGAGCACGAGGAAATGAACAGAGGCTGCAGGGAACAAACCTGAAGTTAGCCTCTGTGTGACATCAACCACAAATGTCAACACTCCATCATGGTAACGCTTTAAATTATTTTTACATGTACACAGAAACATGTACTCTATGTGTGAGGTTTGATATCAGTGGTCGCTTCGTATGACCAATTGTCCAATGGGAGGTGGACCACATTACACCGGCCATACAGCCGCAAGTTCAGTTCGTACAGTTCGTTGAGAACTTGTTGACCGTGAGATTCTCACAACAGCTGAGTGTTACACAGACACACAGTAAATGCAACAGCAGTGATCGTGCACGCAGCGGAGCACTTCCTGTTGACATCTGTGGCATCGTCTTCAAAGGGCTGTAGTTTTGGTTCCATTGTGAACGTCATCAGAAACATATGATGTCAATGAGGACGGAGCCTTTTTTTTTGCCTGCTTCTTTTTTCAGTTTCAGTCTTTGTATCTTATCGCTTACAGTGTTAAATCGTGGTGCGGGCATCAACTTCGAAATCGGCTGATCTTTACTCACGTAATTCAAATTTAATTTGTCGGCGAATGTCCCACACAGTCTTTCTTTTTCCGCCTGTTAAAAAGAAAGTTTTCGTCAATCCCCGAAAATATCCGGGTTTAGATTTGATTGCATTTCTTTGGAGGAGACACTCAACAATTCTAATAATATTAATCTTTTACCACCAAGTTCTTCTCATGGTTCCTGAGGGGCACTGGTTCTAAACCCGATCGTCAGTGGGTCTATATAAAGTGTTCGATTAAGATAATCCTGGATCTTTGAAATGTGTGAGGAAGTATCTGGACAAAACCCAAATATGTGTGCAATACTGGTGTGAAAATACTCCGAATGTTCCATTTCCTGTTTACGTATGGAGCCTTGCTCTGTTTATTTATATGGAGTTTTTATTTTTTCTATTTCTAGTTACTTTTTGTCGCCCCCTACAGGCGGTTTGAATATTTTCGTTCAGTTGACAGTAAATAATCTGGAATCTTAAATAACATTCATGTAGATTCAAATGTCATAGAAACGTTCTGACCAGTTTTCCAGGGGTCTGCGCCGAGCGAGTCTCTCTCAGAGTGTAAACATCTCCACAGACGGAGATTTCTCTCCAGACCCCGGGCTTCGACTCTTCCGTGAATCCACCCTTTGGATGCATCACCAGGACGCCGTTGGTCGTGAGTCCGTCCATGTGGCCGTCAGGGTTTTTCCACTTGGCTGCTTTTTCCTGTAAAAAAAAAAAAAAAGAAGAATAGATGACAAAAGTGTTCTGTTTCTGTTGTGGAATGAAAAGAATGAATGACAAAAGTGTTCTGTTTCTGTTGTGTTCTGGATTTGATCTGCGCGCCTCGAGTTTGACACAAGTAGCAGGTTGGACTTGATGGTTTGGCGGGCTGGATTTGGGCCACGGGCCACTGGTTGATAATCACTGCCCTAGACATTTATATAAAAGAACACCAGACACATGTTGAGCTCTACGGGGCCACATAAAATGGTGTGTTGGCATGGATTTGGCCCGCGGCCCTTAGGTTTGACAGATGTGGAATACACAGACAGAAAGTGAGATAAAAAAGTAAAAATCTATGTGCTCTTGGACTCTAACTAGTAATTACCCCCAGGAAGATGTTTTTGGAGGAGTCAAATCCAGCTGCATAGATGCGGGCGGTGTAGGGAGGGTTGCGTTCGCAGACGATTCGACAGGCGAAACGAGAGATTGTGCTCTGTGTGATGGGAGTCTCTTCTCCCTCCTGACCTCCTGCTACTGTGTCCGTCACCACGAAGTCTATGGGACTTTCTGTGGAACGCCCAATCTTGGAGGAAAAGGAGAAGAAAAACAATCAATAATTCATCACGTAGACTTGTGTATCACTCGTCAGTACACCGTCGTGAAGTAGAGCTGAGTATTCACATGTCAGCTTGTCAGTATCCTGGCTGTACAGTTATGAGGCAGTTCGATACAGCAGCTCTGTGTGTGTCTGTTTAACAGATGACACACACACACGGTGTGATAATAATAATAATCAGTGAACTGAAGGAGAAGCACGGCTCTGTAGTGTTACTGCCCTCTGGTCAGTTCCTCTAAGATTGATGACAATGAGGAAACAATTGATGTAAACAAACTGCACACACACACACACACACACACACACACACACACACACACACATCAGCCTTGTGTTGATCATGAGGTTTACTTGGAGGGGAAATGTCACATGTTTATATAATGACTGTGACTGCCAGTTTCCACAATAAATAAAATAAAGACGGTCCAACTCTGGCCGTAAATTAAAACTGAGCAGATTCATTATTTTCATTTTCAACACGTGCACGGACCAGACGTGCAGTGCAGGGTTCAGCCCTGGCCTTGAGCAGAAACCCTCTGTGGTATTTCCACATCAGTGACACGCCTTTACCTGAAACATGTCTGTGTCTTTGTCATGGCTGTACTCCACCACCACAGTCTGGTTCCTGGACAGTGTGTAGGAGATGCTGTGTTGGCCTTTACAGTTCACCGCCTGAAAAAGAAAACAAAACAACGTTATATACGACAATTCGAGCACAAAAAAAAAAAAGTTTTGATGTTTGGTTTTGTTTTTCTAAACAGCTGATGTGGTATCTCCACAGGTTCACAGTCACCAACTGCTCTACCCACGAATACTATCGTTGAATCTCCGCAGACGTGACATCAAAGATGGAGAGAAAAACAACTTGTATGGTACTAATGAAATGAGAAGTTTTACACAGGAAAATACATAAGAAAACTGTTCTCAATTATCAAGTAACAAGGATGTAGGAAGTTAGTTAAAGTAAAAGTCACATAATTGTATTAAAAAAAAAATCTCCACAGTGAGTTTTTAGGTCACCACACTATGTTTGGAATTTTTGGGGGTTGGAATTTTTCACCAGTTATTGGAGGAGCAGCTAGGGGGCAGTAATGTGTCAGGTCAAGCCAGCTGCTGTGAAAACGAAAAACAAGAAATAGCACAATGTATAATAAAAAAAACGTAGAGAATATGAAAAAGTACAAGTTGTCATAGAGTTGGTTTCAGTCTCTAGAGCTCCGTCAATGTGTGAATACAAACAGATGAATCAACTGTGAATAAGAGCCAGGTACGATACTATCACGATGTTAGTCATCGTACTGTAGTACTAATAGGATCCCGGCGCACAAAGCGAGACATCAAACGTTGGCTAGCTTAGCCAGGTTTGTTTTGTTTTCTACACTCACTCCCACTCTCTTATGCA